CGGATGGCTCTGCGCCAGTCCAGAATTCCCAACATGTCCATGAGGTAGCATTCCTCAGAGTTTGTCCTACTCGTAAGAGTAGGCAAGTAGCAATAGCCTTATTTGTGGACCACATTCGCACACGTCTCGATGCTGTCAGCAGACACTTATGGTATTTCAATGGGATATCGGTTGCCAGCCGAAAACCCCACCACGTCCTCTAGCATCGCCGCCGATCGTCCGTGATAGGTTATTCAGTGAGGTAGTCCCACCTATTCACGGTGGCCGTTCTACTATTCGCGACATGGAGACGCGCTCCGTAGCACTCAGCTGTGCTATCCGTAGACAGTTCTTGCCTACGGGCCGGGACACTATTTTGAGCATGAAATGTAGTAGACGAAGAATCTATGGTGAAACGCGGAAATTTCATAGAGTGACGTTACCAGCGCTACTCGGTTTTGTTTGAAGGTGCATTTCCCAAACATATACAACCAAATGCTAGGTGTAGGAATTTTAAAAAAAAACAGGTCTGTGCGGTGGTACTGTTTATGATAACCGACAAAGAGCACTGGGCAGATGTTTTGTCTTGTTTTGGTCTCGTCAACAGCGCATATTTTTTGTGTCTCTGTCAGGGCTCAATCAATTTAGGCGGTGAAGTTTTGGCTTAGCCCATCCAGGTTTTTCGCAGGCACCAGGCACTGTTGATCTTGGGTGTGGTTTTCATTCCTCAAGAGATCGTTACGTACCCACAAGGCAAATACGTTTAAATGCATTGGAAATGTTTGTGATACGATCATCAACAGTGCCTGGAGCCTGTTAAAAACCCACGGACCGAGTGACGTCATCAATGCTTGTAAAGTGGACACTTGACAATTTGAATCGTTACGTCGTTTATAAAACGTGCATACCAGCTTTGAATATGGGTTTTGGACCTGGGCAGTAAACTGTTATGCTCATGTTTCTACTTATACAGAGCGTTGCGAATTCGGTGGAATGTTAGTAGGTGCTATCTAGCTCAATACTGCGCTTAACTTAGTGGGGTTTTATGTGGTTCCTTACTCCAAGTCCTGGTTTCCATTAGTCTTTGCGACTATGGGTTTACCCGGTCTACTGTTTATCGCATAAAGGCATGAGATAAAAAAAATGCCACGCAAATCCTGAAATTTTTGATTGCTAACAAAAGTCAAATTATAATACGAATGTTTCTGATCATTTACAGCATCGTACTAGGACATCCTCTACTACATCTGAGGAAGACATCGATGATGCCATGCTTTCTAGCTTATTGGTTATCGCACCCTCGTCGGATGACCATTCCATTCTGTCTCACGTTTCGACGCTGCCCACAATCCCTAGTTCTGGTACATTAATGGAAGATGGTGACGCAGCAGCAAAAGGAACACAAGAAATAACAGAGTAAGCAAATCTGCGCCCTACTTTCGCTTATATTAAAGAACTGATTACTCTTCCAACCTCTTATCGTTTGTTGCAACATGCAAACTAAACATGTGCTATTTCTTAGTGATTATAGTAACAATACCATGTGTTGCTTTTAGATCCACTGCCCCTTCGGGCCGCTCTGATGACGACTCCTTGAAAGCACTGGTCGATGATCTTCGGAAATCACTCACCGACTCAGTTCTGTCAGTTACCGAACCCACTGCCCATGTAAGTAAAATTTTGCACAACCGGCTTGGTTCTCTGTCACCTGATAGTCTAAACTGTGAAATTTCCTTATCCACAGACTAGTGAAATAACTGAACCATTAACCGTGTCAACCGGTTCGTCGGCCGAAACGGAGACCATGAGGTCCGAAGAACCTATTTCTCTGGTTTCAATGGATGCCTCGGTTACTAGCACTAACTACTTCGCCCACCAAGCGGCAATGTTGTGTCCTGCATCTCTTGTCCCATTCAATCCTACTCCACTTAGTGCACCTCCTCATCACATAGCTGCGGCACATGCTCAGTTACTTTACCCGGGTGAGTGAGATTTATGTTTATCTGCTACTCGACCTTCAAAATCTTCAACTTTTAGTGGTTATAAAAGTTAACGAAATTCCCATTTGTTTGAAATTCCAGGTCACTGTATACCATACAACCCGAATCCTACTGGCGGACAGTCCCCATTTGCCCTCCTCCCTTCAGCTGCCCCATTAGCAACACCTAGTGCCTTGGTTCTCGTTCCACTTACCCGAGCGCCCTTACCAGGTCATGCAGCGCCCATGTGTTACGTTCCACCGTTCGCCCCACTTACACCAACTGCCGTACCTGAGATTGCTGGCCTTCCTCCACAACAGCAACAACCGCCGTTTATGAATCCTTCTGTAATAAATCGGACAAGTGAGACTAAAACCTCAGAAGATCATTCGAAACGCAAGCCGAGTACTGTATCAGGTCGCATTGCTGGTCTATACTCGGTGTCCCCTGCAGTTGACACATTATTTGCAAAACCTGCTAACCGAATGGTACGTCGAGAGAACCACTTTCATTCTGCATACAGTTCAAATCGCTTAAGTTGGTTGTTGCTATGCGTTTGCCAAATTCCAGGTTTCTGCTCTGTGACGTAATACTCTACGTGTTTGTAAATCGATATATTTTTGATGCGAACAGTGTCCGCAATGTTCCTTACTTCGCTTTTCATGTGGTTGCTTTTTTATCGCTAAATGAGTTTAATTCATGTATTCAGCTCGCAAATGACTTTCGGGAGCCGGATCGGAATTAAATATAACCCGGCTCGTTTCACATTGGCATACATTGCGGGCACAGGCTCCAAGTGAATGGTGTGGAACGATTATCCGGGCGATTTACAGGGAAGGTGCCTAGGCCCTCTTGTAAAAACCACAAGTCAATTAATTTGACTAATTTTGTCCCTGAATTTCTCGATGTTGAAATACTTCATCGATTGTCTGCCGCACTTGAACGGTGCACGCTTGGGAACGATGTAGGTTTTAGATCCGGTCGAGCTTGTGTAGAACATATTTTCTCTCTCAAAAAGCTACCACAGAGTTTCCTTTCTCAGACCCACCATTTCTATCTTCCTCTATCTTAAAGCGGCCCTCAACCCAATCGGCCACTGCTTTTCTCTAAAAGGTGTGTCCGAAAAGTGTATTGCAATACTACGATATGCTAGAAGCCGGAGTGAAATACAAACTTAGGGCTCTTTTTAATCCAGATTCACCACTGACTGCTGTGCTCGTCGGATCGCCTCCTCCATTCTGTTTGAAGTCATCGTACAGTTGATTCTGGAACTAGCCTTGTCCTCGAGCAAGGATAAATTGCATCGATTTGCTCCCAGAATGTAGGCCGACTGATCTTAAGTATGTAGACGAAATTGTGTTACTAAGGCAAAATCCACGTAGGTTGCAAGCTTTTCTTAATGGTTCGACTACTGCTGTGGTTCTTCGTTTGTTTTGCACCTTCGAAGTGCGATATGTAGCTAGGATGGTTCAGCTACCCACCCTACTCTAACTGAAGAACTAATAGTGTCAGCGGACACATTTTACTATCTGGTTACTAACAAGTGGTCGAACTCCATAGTGTACCTTGGTTGTGTTTTGCGTTGCGCATATTACCAAATAGTTTGCCACCGCGCGTGTTATCTGATATGGCTGGGTGTCGTAAACGGTAGCGTTCGTGCATGTTCTCAATTTCTCTGTATCATTAGTCCACTGAACTTTTCAGTTTTCTCTTCGATCTTACTTTCAACCTTTCCTGTCTTTCATCCAAATGGGCAGCCGAAAGACAGTAACCAAAACGGGCGCACAATAGTGTATGGTAAATGGTTATACAAACTGAACTAAACTGATGTTTAACCAGGCAGGTAATAAGTGAACATAGACAGGAGTGGTCAAACTAAAACCTGGTATCAGGGTATAAAAATGCCGACCAGGATACTTGCTCACATAAATCGCGTTTGGCTTTCGGGATGGGGACCTCGTGATCTGTGTAACCGATGGTCAGGGACACTAAGTGATGTGTCTGGGTATCGCAAACCGTGGCACTCGTGTATCTACTCAATGTGTCTGAAACCTTAGTATCCAAAGTCTCCATTTTCACTCTAATTTCGATGTTCGAATCCTCTACTTCCTTATCCAAATGGAAAACCAAAAAACAACACAAGGCCGTCGCACAAAGATGCATGATTTTGTTGTTGATGTTGTTTCAACTAGATCTGAAACATTGCGGGCGGAGGAAACTGAATGTCCGGTTTACATTTTTGGGCTTCGTTTTTACATACTCGCAATGTCTTCCCGAGCACAACAAGCGAACAAGTCTCATAGTTGAATGACGTGAAGCCTGCTCAGAACATTGCAAATGATCTGATTGCGAGGATTGCGACAGCTATCTGGTGCTGCTTCAGTGTTTCGAGATAGCTATGCAATTGGTCAGGTCAATGAAATTTGACAATCCATTGAACTGGAAGAGTACTTATCGCTAATATCTGTAACGTAGTGACGACGCTTCAAGATCAGTGAGGGACCGGAAAAGCTTGGTTTGATATTTCTCTTAGGAAACCTAGTGCGTTTATGGACAATCGGAATGAGTCTTTATATCTGATTGAGACATCAACGCTGCGAAACACCACCTTATCATCATTGCTGTTGGATTATATTAAGACTGGTCTCTGATTTAAGTCTTATGTCAATCCATTGACGGGTGTTGACTATCCGGTATTCTCTAAATCCAAATATTAAATCAAGTCCGAATTTTTAATTCTTCCCAGGATGCATCTGATCGTACTCACTTTACCATGTACCATACCTTTCGTGTAATCGAAAGGAGAAAGTAATTGAGCCCCGAATGAAAACCAGTTACGACCCATGACAAAAAACCGAAAGCCCCTGATTTAACCCACAGGTTGTGTTTTCAATAATCGTACTTATTCTACGGGCGTATTGCCTCTAAAGGCCATTCAGTCATCAATCAAGTGAATTGGCATACATTCCTTTAGATTGTCATCGCACGACACGTTTTTATAATGTGTAGATAGAGGAAACTGATCCTGTCAACGTCAACCTAAACTGTTGATCTTGAAATATGTTTCCTCAACGCATTTAATACAGTTTTTATCACGTGTTCCAGGTTTCACGAAAAAGGTCGCAGTCCGGTTGCGAATTCTTGGATACCAACCAGTCCCAAGTCGGTTTCCTCCTCAACACAACAAGACAGGGTCCCGAAGGGTAAGCCTCCAATTTATTCCCCAATGTTCTGATTCTGAGAGAAGTTTTTTTTATTCCAAGTGATCGTTCGGTATAAGGTTACTATTCATCCGACTCAATCCGTCATTTACTCTTTATCGCAAAGAGATTATTCCCGAGCAGTATTGGAATATTTGTGTCGATGCGACTTGAGAGGCATGTGCTTGCTATCATCGCTTAGGCAAAGTTGTGTTCTCTGTTATGTGCAGTCAAATGGTTGTTATCCCGTCATGCCGAATGTCTCTT